ATTTTATTTCCGACTGTTTCCGATGCGCATTTTCGGTTACCGTTTGATTATCTACATTAGTTTCTCTGGATAAACGTATGTAATAGTTATAAGTTCCGCTATCCCACACAATAATGATATGCATCACTGTCAGTGGTCAATAGCTTTTTCATGTGAGTTTATAATAAGTAAATAGTGTTATAGCGAGTAAATAATCTGTTTTACTGAGTTGTCATGTACCATTAAAATAAATCAAAACCATCTTGTTCGGTCTTTGGCCCTGTAGATCGAGCTCTTCTATCAAATGGTAAAATGTAGAGTTATTGTTTTCTTTTCTTCAATCTTTAGAAATTACTTTTCAGGCAAAATGTTTGGACAAATACACGATCATTCATTGTTTTGACATGAAAAGGTGCTTTTCATACGCATAATTCAATTGTTTTGTGATAAAAAGTTTCATTTATTTATTCATATTAAAAAAAATAGTTAGAAGTTGTTAAGTAGGTGAAAGGAACTTGATTTGAATTTTTGTTCAAGTTTTAATAATGTATCATAGTAAAAGTAGGTACTTTATTTGATCCACATTTTTTTTGCTTATTATTCCATTTAAATGTGAAAGTGTCCAATACAGCGATCCTTCAATAGAAGAATGTAAATAAATAGGTATATCAAAACTGAAAAACTTGTTTTTGTTTTTTTTAAATTTTGATCTACATTTCTATGCTCGGATTGCAGATAATCAGCATATTTCCAACTGTTGTTCAGTAGTTGAACTTCAAAATTTAATAATTTCAATTCATTTTCAGCTTGAAAGCTTTTTTACAAATAAATATACATCACAGGCCATAAGTTTGGATACCCCTATAAAGTATATTTTTTCTACGTTTTTCGAACATTTTCAGTTGAAATTTCTTCTAAATTCTAAATAAAAATTTACTATTAAACGTTTATTTGTCATGACACGGGTTTATAACAATCATCTTTCAAACCGCTTGTCCAATTTCAACATGCTATACGTTGTTGGAAAGGTCTTGAAAAGTAGATGTGAATTTTGGTGGAAAACATCAAACTCGGCCGGCGTTTGGCCAAGATATGGCCGTTTGTAATTTTTGGCCGAAATATTCAATCAGCCACATCTTGGCCAAAAGCTGGCCGATTTTGATGTTCAATACCACAAATCACATCTACTTTTTAAGACCTTTCCAACGACGTATAGCATCTTGAAATTGGACAAGCGGTTTGAAATTTAAAATTTTCGGGTCAAATTTTGAAACGGCCAATTGGCCAAACGCCGGCCGAGTTTGATGTTTTCCACCAAAAATCACATCTACTTTTCAAGACCTTTCCATTGGCGTATATAACTTTTTAATCCGATGGCCCGTTGAAGACTTCGATTTTGACTCCCACAGCTCAAAGGCCAAAAGATGGGAATAGGCCGGCCAAATGTTATCTTCCAAATCTTCCATTCGGTCAGAATTTCGATATATTTTCATATCCAATACTAAATTTCAACTGAAAATGTTCAAAAAACGTAGAAACAATATATTTCATAGGGGTATCCAAACTTATGGCCTGTGGTGTATTCTTTTCGAAATGTCAACATACAAACTGATGAGATCCGCTTTTGAAATGGTATTATTGTATTATTATTATTGGGACAATGGAGGCCAAAAAGATTTTTTCGCCAAGATTGTTTTAAAATATTATTTTGTGTAACATAACGAAGAAGAGCTTACATTTTCTGCCCCCGGTATTCGCATTGTGTGGTCATATGCACCTAGTATTACGCGCATTGGCTCAATTTCGCAATATTACGCAATTTCTACTTTTAGGGATTTTTTCTTCATATTTTACTAATATAAATGTGGTTTTTCAAAATCTTTTCTTTGTTATGTTACACAACATATTAATACAAAGTTTTTTTTTGACCAAAATGGTAAAGTAAAACGAAGAAAAAAAACAAAACAAAAACAACACAAATACTCGGGTGCGCTAAAGTCATCTCTGTGGCAAATGTTGTGGATTTTGGTGCTAGAAATAAAACCCAAGCCGCCGTTTTCCGTTCAAAACGGAACTTATTTCATCGATTTTTGATATTTGAAAATGCATTTGCTAATTCGGTACACAAAATTCACGTTTATTTGTTTTTCATTCTGACCGAGGGTGCTGGAATCGTCTCATTCTTATTTTTTTCGATGAATTTTCAGAATCACGGCGGGAATGGTCGAAAATCGAAACTTTTGCAATTTGAGCCGCCCTAATCTCCATGTTTGGGCAACAAATGTCATGCGAATCAGAAATGGAACGAATTTTAAAAAAGATTTAGATTTTTAAACGGCTTTTATTGAAATTAAACTTATTGAAGAATACGTGTAATTTTCAGAGATATTAAAAAAAATTCCGCAATTCACAGACCCTTTGGAAGTGGAAAAGTCTTCAGATTTCTTACAACGTTTGATTAGACCAATTACAGACCGAAGCTCGAAAATTTATGACACGTGACAATGTAGGGCGACAAATTAACTAACTAATATTCAAAATGAACGAGTTAGTTTGAAGCACTTTAACTCTATATTATCACCCATATACACGTGAAGCTTTTTCGTGTATACTTGACTTGAAATCATTTAAATAATCATTCATTTCTTTGGCCATATTCAATATTCATGGATTGAAAACCATAGCTTAGTTATGAGATAACTATATCGAGAAATACTTTTCACACTCTCATTTACCTCGAGATTGGCCAAAAATTTGACATTGAAATGTGAATGACTTATTTGGTGTGTTAAAGAGTTTTTTTAACGATCATAAGGAGTATACTTCTTACAACCAAATATCAAATTTTACAAACTATTTGTACTGAATCATTAATTTTTTCATCACGAATTTGCACAAAAACGATCAAATTAAGAGAAGTGTTAACGTTAATTAACCACTCGCGTCTAGTGGCTGCAGTTTTTCAATAGAATCACATGTTTTAAACTGGAAGAAAAACGTCATTTGTGACGAATTCATTTGCACATAATAACAATCGATATATTTTTCGGTTGTCAGCATCACATGATCCTGGCTGGAATTCTAAGTCATTCCACCAAAATCGTTCGGAATTATTTTTTTCGTACATAAGACCATATTGGAGTGAAAGAAAGAGATTCCACTATTTTTCAGCGTCCCACCGGAATTATTTCGATAACTCAAGGAAGAGTGGATTGTGTGAGCAATAATTCCGGTGGGACGCTGAAAAATAGTGGAATCTCTCTCTTTCACTCCAATATGGTCTTATGTACGAAAAAAATAATTCCGAACGATTTTTGCGGATTGTGTTCCAGAATACCGGCACCGGTTGCTCATGCGAATTGAATAGAAGTCTTTCCATGTTTATTTTGCATTAAACGCCGATTCCTTTTTTATAAATTAATGATAAAATTTAGGGAGTACCATTCATCGTCGAAGCCTATAAAATGTGTCCCAACGAAAAATTGCTCAAAAAGTGACTCAATATTGCGTTGAAAGAAGAAGCAATCATTTATAGGGTGTCACATATGAACGAAAAAATTATATAATGCTAAAAATTGCTAAACTATTTATTAATTTTTATCATTGTTGAAATTATTTACAATTTTGTGCTTTCATCAAAGAAATTGAAAAAAAAAGAGCAAAAAATATGTGTACACCCCCTGTACATCAGAATCTCTGTCGACTAAAATATAAATACCTGTGACCGTTGTATGCTTAGATCATATTCACAAGAACCTTTGAGGCGTGATCAGTTCCTAAACGTGATCAACTATATTAACTCTGTTGAGCTTTCGCTTAACACATAGGATCTTCATTCCAGTGACAAGTTTTGATTATCTCAATATCATTTTTTTTTGCATTGTGTTGAAGAAAATTTCTTCAAATCGGAATAATTCCAAGGAATTTAATTGATTTTGTCTTCGGCAAAAGGACTAGGACACCGAAATTTTTGGTGAGTGTTATCAGAATAAACCATTATATACGAAGAGAACTTTGAACCTAATGAAATTAAGTGACAAAGTGTGAATTTTATTGAAAACAAATGACTAATTGTATAAATAAAGTGTTAAACGTTCGCAAAAACAATCAATTCACGTGACTTTTGCTTAAGATATTCAGTTCTTAGAAGTGTTTCAAACCGGTTTTTGTTCAATCTTTTTTCAATTTTTCATTTTGTTCTGCAGTAATGCCAACGCCAGTTCAAATATCGGATACGGAACATCCGAATGCGAATGTGCAAGTGTTGAAAGTGGAACGGCCATACTATGAACAACACCAGTTTAACAATGCATTATATTATGATAACTCAAAAGATAAGAAACAAGTTTGTTCGAATCCGTTGGCGAAGTTCCACCCGTTGAACATGATGTTGAGTATGTTTCCGATTCTATCGTGGCTGCCAAAATATGATTTGAAACGGGATCTTATCTCTGACATGATCGCTGGATTCACCGTGGGTGTGATGCATATTCCACAAGGAATGGGCTACGCTTTGCTCGGCTCAGTACCGCCGATCATTGGGATTTATACAGCATTTTTCCCAGTTTTGGTTTATTTCATTTTTGGTACATCAAAACATGCATCGTTGGGTACTTTTTCAGTCATCTCCATCATGGTTGGCAAAGTCGTTTTGAGATATACTGGTATATATGAACCAATGCATGTAGTTTCCAGCTTGTGTATAGTTATGGGCTGTTTCCACGTAAGTTTTCATATTTTATCGATTTTTTTTCTTTCGAATCCATCATTCTCACCTTGCTATTCGATGTTTGCTTGCTGTTGCAGATAATAATGTACGGTATACGATTTGGTGTTTTGTCGTCATTGCTTTCGGATGCGTTAGTATCGGGCTTTACCACTGGAGCCGCAATCGGAGTGTTGACATCACAAGTTAAGGACTTGTTTGGAATCAAATTGACTCAAGTCCTTGGAAAATATGAAATTGTTTTGGTATGTGATCGAATTTGTTTCTCCTTTTCAAAGGATTAAATCCAATCTCATAATTTCCCTAATTCAGAATTGGTACGAGTTGCTCGGCAAATTACCTTCGACAAATTTAGTGACTTTTGGTATATCAGTACTCACGATAACCGTTTTAGTTTTGAATAATGAATTACTGAAGCCAAGATTGAGTAAATTGTGCCTTGTGCCGATGCCAATTCAATTGATAGCAGCTGTTGGTGGAACATTGGCGTCTGGATATTTTGACTTGGCTAAAAATTACAATGTCACGGTTGTCGGTCATATCCCGACCGGAATCCCAGGTGTGCTTCTACACATTTCTTACTTTCTCAATTGAAATCAATTGAATGTTATGAATTCTCACTTCTAGCATTTCAACCGCCGGATTTGGATCTGTCAAGGCATTTAATCGTCGATGGTTTAATCATTGCTATCGTTTCATACACGATCACCGTTTCGATCGCGGTCACTTTTGCAAAAAGCAATAATTACGAAATCGATTTCAATCAAGAGCTATTGGCATTGGGTGCATCGAATATATGCGGTACATTTTTCTCGTGTCTTCCATTGTCCGCCTCTTTATCGCGGTCACAAGTTCAAGTCCTGACTGGAGGGCGTACACAGCTCACATCGATCGTTTCATGTTCGATATTGATTTGTGTTCTACTTTGGATTGGTCCGTTTTTCGAAATTCTCCCAAAGGTAAGTTCCATTTTGCTCAAGTTTGAAAATCCATTGAAATTTCTCAATAAATTTTCTATTTTACAGTGTATTTTAGCCAGTATTATAGTGGTTGCGTTGAAAGGGTTGCTGGTGCAAGTCAAGGATTTCTTTAGATTTTGGAATATTTCACGTTTGGATGCGATCATTTGGCTGGCAACATTTTTGGCTGTGGTCATTGTTTCAATTGATGTGGGTCTTTTGGTTGGCATTGTTCTAAGTGTGGCCAGTATTTCCATTCGTAGCTTGAAACCATATACCTGCCTACTTGGTCATGTTCCAAATACGGATTTATACTTGGATATCAAACGATATAAAGCCGTGAGATTCATTTTTCAAAATCTAATCATTTTGTTACCATGGTAACGGAATGCTTTTTCTCGTAGGCTCAAGAAATTGAATCGATTAAAATATGCCATTATTGTGGTAGTTTGAATTTTGCATCACGATCGAATTTCAAGTCGGAACTATGCTCATTGATTGGAATAGATGCTATTGAGCTAACGCGTTCAAAACCATCGCAGCCGATTGACACAAATTGCATCATCATCGATTTCTCCGCTTTGAGCTACATTGATCCATCGGGAGTTTTATCTCTGCAACAATTAATCAACGATTTCAATAGATTATCCATAAAAGTTTACATCGCGGGCGCATCATGTAAGTGAAAATGATCAGAGTTTGCTATGAGTTGAGTGTAATGATTTTAATGCCCTTTTTGTACAGGTCCTGTTTATGAAATGATGAAACGATGTGACTTGAACGAGAAACCAGACGGTTCTTTCAACTTCTTCCCAACTATTCATGATGCTGTGCATCATGCGAAGGAGAAGTTGGTGTTGATTCCAGTTATTACAGAAATACCGTCAAAACTCACTGCGGACATTGGCATCAATATTATACCACCATCTGATGTATACAGATCGATAACACATTTTTGAAATAATTGGTCTCTTTTCCTTTGCCATCGATTGAAATGCTTAGTTCTTAGATTACACGGATAAGCTTTAAAATACTGTTAACTTATAGAACAATTGAATTATAATGTAAAATTATTATTTTGCTATTATTTGATTGGCTAGTATTTTTGCTTCATTTGAATGATTATGCTAAAACATGGGTTGCATATTTTCAAATTCAAATTAGATATCATCCAATTTTTTACCTTTCTCCGAGAAATCCTATGTGAAGTTCCATGCTCATTTTGTATGGAAGGATTAGAACAATTCCAACGATAAAAATTTCAAAGTTTGGCATTTATTGTAATTTTCAGACTTTATTCGTATTCAAATTTTGTTACAGTAACACGCGCCTTTCGTATGAAACAAAATCCAATCTAAATAACTGTTGACCTTTGTGTAGATGGGTAGGTTTAGATCTTCCTCCTTTGGATTTGTGTGCAGTGATGAGGCTGCACAACTTTGGTAATCAGATAAAATACCGATCAGCTCATAATATCCACCCGGTGAACTATAAAGAACACCCGAACCAGCATCATCTCGGCAGAGAATACTCGATGATCCAACCACTCCAACACATCCTTGAGACTCTTGTGTAGCCTTTGTGCAACTTTCATGTTCGGCAATTGGCAAGTCTATTTTACGTGGCTGACACGTCGATGTTTCATAACCGTCAGATGTGACCCCTTCATACCAGGATGCAATTGTGGCCACTTTGTGCTCATAATTCATCTCTAAAAATATGAATGAAATTTCAATTAAAGGAATTGAACTTTTTTAAAAATCGAAAAGCTTTCCAACAAACAAAATCTACTCCTTACTGGGTGTCGGCAAACAAACTGGTGAGATACGCTTCTGAAACGGTACGACTGTACTTAGGCGCAACAGAGCTATGTCATTCGTGCGTGTTATATATTGAAACTCGGGATGAATTATTATATTCGATACGCTGAATGTTTCTGATGTAACGTCCGCATAGCAATTATCATAAACTCCCAACACAACTTTTAGTTTGTATGGCGAATATCCGTAAACGGTTGACGCAGCGGTTATAACGTATCGATCATTTATCAAAGTTGCCTCAATCGGTGGCGAATCTTCAACCATAATTTGACTAAGCCAGGGAAATTCGTACGGTTTCAAGTCGGTGCCACCAAGTAGACGCTGTCGACGATTTGGTATTCCACATTTGCATTTGCATGCTTGCACTGTTGTTTGTTCGCCAAAAAGGAAATCGAAAAATCCCGCCTTTTGGAAATCGAAAATGCTATTTGAATTTTGATTTTTCTATTGAACATTTTTGCTTTGAATTCTCTTAAAAGCGATTAAGAATTATTAATTTCTTCAATTGTCTGATAAATTGTGACTAATTACCGTTTAAAAATGTTCAATTTATGTGATTTAAATGATTTTGATTCAAATGTTTCTAGTTTTAATGATTGTATGGCCCATAAATAAAATTTATACAGTTTTCAACTAACCCTTAACCGTTGAACTCCATGATCACTGATGTTTGAAAATGTTTGACAAGACATTAACTTAGCATAGAAAACTAAAAGCACTAGACACAATTTCATTTTGATGCAAAAAATATTTTTAACTTAGGGAAGAGAACACTTGACGGCAAAATTACTATTGGAATAGAAATGGTCTGAAAATCGTTGACACTATTTATATTATGGTTTTAAATTGGCAAATCTATTTTTAGATTCTAATTATCGGCGTATTAGCATAAATCACACGGGGAGGTATCAAATTAGATTCACCATGTTCCTCCTCAACATGGAAATACATATAGCACTTACATATGAGGCATCATTTTTCAAAATGATGTGAAAAAAGATTGTTTGAACCTCCCCAATTATTTTTTAATCAAATACTAATGATAATGGCAGAGAAGTGCTATTAGAATGATGGCACAAGCATGCATAGCGCAAACCACAAATGGATTGTATGGTCGTTATATAAAGTATTTAATTGTTGGTGTGGTAATCATGATTAGTTTTTGTCTTTGTACTGTGGTTTGGAGTCTCCAATCTCTATACTTGGTAGCAATTCAATTGTCGTGGCTCATTTCTGTCTCACTAAGTCCATAGCATGAAATTCATACCAACTAATCATAAGTGTTACTAATTATATGGTAAATTAGCATTTGAAAATGCATTAGTTGATTAGTTGCTAGTGAATAAACACTTAAGTGGTCCATTAAATCTAATGCACCATTACGGTAGAGAATCTAGAGTACATCGTGGTTAGAAACCAACTGAATAATGCCATATTTGGTTTTTAGTATCATAATTGAATGGTTGAACTTTGTGCGATTATTGTGTTTCAATTTCGAGTCATCATCTTGCAAAAATGGATCAAAATCTCTTATTAACCCGCATCATGAGTATTGTGTTTTTGATTGTTTTGGTGTTACCCCGACAATTGGGACTTTTGGCCGCAAATTGCAATATTGAAAAGTGCTTCAATACCAAATCAACGTTTTGGCTGGTCTATTCCATAATTTGTGGTTGCGTCTTTTCGGCGACCTATCCTTTTGCAATTACAGCGATTTTATCTAAAACCAATGCGCTATCTGAGGGTCATCTCTTTGCTTACATTGAAATCACCAACTACGTGGCAATGTACTTATTCGCCGTTGCCATTTATATTCGCATCGTGTTTTCTTCGTCTAAACACCTGAACTATAACAATTTGGTATTTTCACTCTTTCAAGATGGCAAACTGCTATGCAAAGATCAAAGAGAATTTGAGTATATTTTTTCGTTCACCATTCGAGTGCTCTATGTGTACTTTGGATATGGAACTCTAAACGCGATCAATTTGAGTAAGCACAGTGATGTTTTGAGCACTGTGCCACTTTTTTATAAACTGTTATACTTTGTGCCTGATCTCGTGATGGCAAGCACAACGATGCGTGTACACACAACCGTTGTATTACAAGTCATTTGCTGCAAACGTATCAATCAAGGGCTTTCAGAGTGTCTGGACAGAGTGAAAAAGGCGTGCAATTTAACATCACCAGCTGAACGCATGAGCATTTACATGAGCGAATGTCAAACATTTGATAAAATTACCGAAACACATGCAAAATTATATACAGTCACCAGAGTAACGGAGGAATTAACATCGAATCTTATGATTTTTTCGATTTTAAAAGCTTTTGCTCATCTTTCTTCAATGGTAACTTAGGCTACAAAAAAAATGATTTTTTTTATTGAATTCTTCGAATTTACATATTTTCTAGCTCTTTTTATTGATCGATCATTTGAATTCAAGCCAAATTTGGAATATGGATTTCATACAAATCAATGTTGTGAGATCAGTTTTCTGCATGCTAGACCTTATATTCATATTTTTTCCGGCAACTCAGTTGAAGCGAGAATTACATACGGTGGGAAAAGTCATTTACCATGGATCAACTAAACTGCCATCGCGATTGCAACGATCGGTAATATTACGTTTTTTGTGAAAATATTTTATTTAAAATTTCACATTTAAAATGAAAAATCAAAATTGAATTGCTTTTCCTTGGTTTTTCATTGAAATTAGTATAAAACAAAACAATTGATAACTTTACAGGTTGACCAATTTTCCATTCATTTACTGCACCAGAAGAAAAGCTTCAACGTTGGCGGCTTTTTTGAGCTCGATAATAACTTTTTCTATTCGGTAACACGAATTTTTCATATTGTGTTATGATAAATTATCATTGAGATGACATTCTTTGCATTGTAGGTCTTGAGCGCAATGGTATCGTACGTGATATTTTTTATACAAGTTAAAAGTCTAGAAAAGCAATGAAATTCCATTTGTCTGCTATTCAATGAAGTTTAATGTGTTTCACACTAGATTTAAAAAAAAAGTTACACTTGTGTGTTTTTTTGCTTTTTGCACAAAAGAGAAACAAGTTCAGATATATTGAAGCGAGTTCCATAAAATGAATGAATACTAAAAACTTAACGAAACACGTCTCACAGCGAAATAAATGTAGATTTGTGTTCATTATTTTTTTCATTTTTGCCTTAACACTTTGCATTGTGATGTGAAATTTCAATCAAATAACCTACAAATAACAAAGTTACATCATCAAGTCAACTCAATTGTTTGGAGATTAAATTATTTGGATATTGTGGGGGAAACATTTGTTAGCTTGAATAAAAGTGTCCACTGTCCATTGTTCTTCAAACCTAAACGATGTCATTTGCCTCATTGATTTGATTGCCTGGCATTTCTAAGAGAGTTCATTTCCATTCGAAAATGTTCATTAAATCATATTTGTTTTTCATTGATAAATAAACACATGTCTTTTCAACTGTCATACCAATGTCTATTGAAATGGGCAATTTATTTGATTAGGCTTTATTTTTCTCTCATACAATACCTTCGTTTTTTTTTTAAATCCTTTAAAACGATCTCATGTTTTTCTCTTGAATTTTATCCATTCAATAACAATTTTAGACACGTGAATCCAATTACTTCATACCAACCGTTTCGTTTGCTTTTCCAAAGGAAAGTGCATCATAAACACGCACAAAGCTACGCTATTTAACACAAGTCTGAAAGGATAAAAATAAATCGATTTTGGTGGTCTACGAGGTAGGGACCAAAATAGATTAGACGCAATATCTAATTCACTGGGCTTTTTCGAACGAAGAAATGAATTCCTATTGAATGAATTAGGTCTGGGTGTTTTTAAGCATGGCAAAAATGGAATAGGCCGTCTTCAAAATCTGAAAAAGATAGAAAATTTAGAGATAAAGAGAAAAATAAAATATTTTCATACGCAAGTTTTTAATCTACCTTGAGTAAGGTAGTCAAATTGAGCAGGAAAACACTTGCTGCATAAATTGAAATCGGTTGTAAAGTTCGTTCGACTAAAATTTGCATAGAACGCTTGTATTTAACAGACGCAGGCAACCAATTCGATGTAAATGTGTCGTAGCAAAGCTTTTGGCTTTTGATGTAAACAGCCGAACCAAAGTATGACGGAATGAAAATTTCCGTAATCATGGCAAAGGAATACACGGCCGAAAACAGAAATTTGTATGTGTCCTCCATTGGACTGACCTAACGAAAATGAAATCATTGCAAAATATAAGAATGTAGGCTCGAAATAAATCAATATTTAATTCAAAGCGCAGAATTTACCACAGACAGTTGATAGGCACAAGTACACAAAACCAAACCGCTCACGCCGAATTGTGAGAATAAAGCGAACGATAGAATTTTTTCAAGTGACTTGGAATACCTATTGAACACAATCGTTCATTTTCAATTTGGCTTAATTTCACTATTTTCTTTGTAAATCCAATCGCTCGCAAACCTAATGATCAGCAGATACTTCTTGCAAAGCTCAATCAAAATCGGTTCTTGTTGACGAAACTCTTCGATATTGTTACAGCCCTTGCCTAATGCCTGAAGATGTTGACTCAAAATTTCGATATGCCCGCCAAGAATGTGGAGCAACGACGCACCGTAGGTATCAACAACAATGTCCACGAAAACTAAAAGTAAATTCGAAATTGCCTGAAAAATGATTCCACCCAAGTAAATGCCACATTGGTGAAGAAATTCGCTCGGATAGAGATAAGTGGATGACCAAAGTCGGTTCGCTGGGTGAGACATTATCACTTGGATTGCGACACAGCTCCAAGATCCAATGTAATTGGCACAAAATAACAGGAGCAATCCATCAGACACTAAAAATTTTCGCTTGAAGACACACTCGTATTCCTCAGTTGTAACCGTTGCATCCAATTCTTTCATCAAACGAAGCAGCTCCACGAATGTTTTCTTCTTCGCCAAAACGTTCAACCCTTTGATAATGGCCATGATGACAGTGCTCGTGATGATCAAATGATCAACTGCTGCGTTAACTGAATCCACCCATAAAATACAGACCAATTGCGAAACTGGGAATCCAATGTTCACGGTCATCGTGAAGAAAACCACCCAAATGCTGTACAAGATTGATCCACCTTCCGGAGGCCACAATCCACACAATTTGAACACTCTTATATGCCATTTTAACACAAGACGTGAATCCATTGGCGATGAAAACATTTTTTGATATGCTAAGAAAAAAGCTGAACAAGATATTTGTCTCTGTGACGATTGACGACTGACGAATATTTCCATGTCTACGGGCCCTTTTATAGATCGAAAAAGTGATTTTTTTTCCTCACGAACGACAATTTCATCATATAAATAAATGCCCTAGCTTCATATCAAATCAAGAAAAACAATCAGAGAGACTGAATGTTTTCGTAAAAAGTAACATATAGAACTGAATTCGTCTTGCGTCATAAAATGAACACAAAGACAAAACTACACAAGAAAACCTTTAAAACGGACGACAAACCAGGGAATAAATTTCACAAATTATGAAATAACCACATCCAAAAACAATAAAGCACAATTTAACCTCAGATCCATGTATTAGTGAGCTTTGTGTAGCGATCAATGTATTACATATAACGTAAATGTAGTTGCAATACATAACAAGCAACCTCTGTGGTAGCAGTGTGCAAAACACCGCTCAGAAGCAACTATGTGGGAGTAGTGAGGGACTGTAGCAAAGTATCGTGTGCTCTATTCTTTGTTCAGCAAAATATCATTTAATCAGAAAAGCGAAATATATTTGACATTTGAGTGGCTGAATGTTATTACTTTTCCGCAAATTTTGTTTGTGACGGAAAAGTATTGGTTTTACTCCCCAAAATTTCATGACATCTCCTCTTTTGGACCACTATAACGTCGCGCCAAACTTCAAAAAGCACATATCTGTACACTGGCAATGTATTAGATGGGAACAAATCCTATCGATCAAGACCTATCTGCCCGCGTTCGCATCCGAGCTTTTTGTTCGCCGCGTATCTCAAAAAGTTGACAAGATAATTGAGATCTGTAAGAGCCAAAAATTTTTGCATGTCAAAACAAAGCTTCGGATTGAATCTGAGCTCATTCTGACCTACCAATTTTGTACCATAAGCCTCTGACTGAGGACCTAACCTTGAAATGACACTTTTGTATGAGAAATAACCGAAAAAAGCATTTTGCAGGGTTTTGGTCGAGGCAAACTTATGTTTTTTTTGCAAAAATAATGGGGGTTTGTGAACAACCGAACATAAATTGGGTCCAAAATCGACATTTCTTGAAATTTTCCCCGAAAAATACACTTTTGTATGAAAAATCACTCAGAAAGCCATTTTTTAGGGTTTTGGTCAAGGCAGACTGATATTATTTTGCAAAAATATTGGGAGCCTTTAAACAACCGAACACCTACTTGCCCAAAAATTTGGCCCAAAATCGACATTTTTTGAAATTTTTGAAATTCTATTCGAAAATGACACTTTTATATGGAAAATGGTCGAAATAGTTATTTTTCAAGGTCAAAAGTGCTATGAAAAAAGTTTCCATTGCAATTTTGGTTAAACGTTGAGCGGGAGGTAAACTAAAATTCTGCGGAGCGGAAAAGTTCGGATTACGTATGTAAATAATTCGTTTTATTTCTCAATGGATTTATGTAGATAGTTTTTAATCGTCGTGTTCTGCCAATTCGATCCATTTCAATGAAATGATCACAACTTTAATAGCCTATATACATGTTTTCGGCGCACTTAAACCATTGCAACTCTCAATCATTTGCGGAACTTTTAATCCGATATATCAGAAGCGGAACGGAGTTCTAGTCGATCGTATTGCGGAACAAAATGTAAGTGTTCAACTTGAATGTATGGGCACTCTTGAGAAAAAAAAAAAGTTTACCATTTATTGTGTCTAAAATGGGCTACCATTCATCATGTGGACTCTCCAACTGAAAGAAAGATTATATTTTATTCCCTGGCGCTATGTTTAAGTTCCCAAAACAAAGTCACAGAAATTGTTTCTTTCCCGGGGGTGAACCTTTGACAAGTAATTTGGCATATCATTTTTCCAAGGACAAAGAGTTTAGGAAATACATAGAATTAAATGCTTTCTTTTGACGAAATGTGTGTTTACTCAAACGATAAAAGACACCAATTTTCGAAAAATGGCTCAAATTCAAAGGTATTTTACATCATTTACTTCGACACTGTAGTATGAAATAACAAAGGGCTCCCCTATGTCTGGTAACAGGTTCATTTTCGCCTACTAAAACATTCATAAGTCTTTGCTACATTTGACGCATTTCAAAAAGAAAACAAAGAAAAATACACGCGTGTTATTCATTCGAATGTCTTTTTCTCGTTTGATTGCAATGAATGTCACAAATGAGAAAATACTTGAAAAAAAATAACGAAAACCATTCAGAAATAAAGAAAAAAGAATTAAAAGACAATCAATCTTTTGTGCAAATATGTTTATTGATCTATTTTGATATTCATTAGAGACAAGCTTGTTTTATTAATCAACTTTTTTAGACCGCCGTTGGGTGTCTTTATTACTTTTCCGTACACAACGTGTCAAGGGAAAGTATAGGAATTGGTCCCAAAAACTTTTTTCGCAAAATTGGTTTAGATCATCATAAAAACTCATGAAACGCGTAGAAAACCACTTTTTGAGACACTTTTCCGTTCGTGTGCCGTCGTCGTTGTCGTTGTCGTTGTCGTTGGTGTTTGTTAACACGATAACTCAAACAATAATTGAGATAATCAAAATCTGGAAATGCCAAAACATTTGTATCCGAAAAACTTAGTTTAAGTTCGAAGATGAGCCATTTTCGATTTGATCCTGGGGTACTTGCCCTAAGAAAAACCACAAAAAATTGACGCTTTTGTATGGGAGGTACCCAGTGGCGTAACTAGGGGGGGTTCAAACCCCCCCACCGAAATCAAATCATCCCAACAATTTTTTTACAATGAATAAAGGGAAAATTGAGTTTCAGGATATTCAATATCAAAAATTTCGGCTCGCTTCGCTCGCCATACGAACAATATTATATAAAGTTGTAT